TAGACAGATATAGCTGGGTATCATCAGCATAACAGTGGAAATTAATCCCATGCTGTCTAATAACTCTACCAATTGGGAGCATGTATAAAGTAAAGAGAATTGGTCCTAGCACTGATCCCTGTGGTACTCCACAGGTAACCTTTGAGCGTGTTGAAGATCTATCATTAACATAAACAAACTGAATTCCATCAGATAGATCAGATTTAAACCAGTCTAGTGCTGTTCCTTTAATTCCAACAAAATATTCAAGTCTTTCTAAAAGAATATTATGGTCAACTGTATCAATTGCAGCACTAAGATCTAACAGGACGAGCACAGATACAAGTCCATTATCTGAGGCCATGAGAATATCAAGAATATATGGGAGGAAGACCCTGCTGAAAAAAATCTATGTTCAACTCCAAGCTAACTTTAGCGCTGATAGGCCACCCCATCCACACCCGCATTACTGTGAGCATGAAGAGAGAGGAGAAAGAAAGAAGGAGGGATTCTCCTGGAGGCTGTACAGAGAAAATAACCCCCCCACCCCCCAACCAGCTGCTATCTTCATCATCATCATCATCATCATCAGATCAGCCTTCTTTCCCATATCTCCACTTCCTCATTTTCAGCAGCTGTTGACACAAACAGACCCTAATTCTGCATGTTTTAATTTTCCCTCTGATTAAATTTATGTTTCATTCAATCATCAGATTTTAGAAACACGTTTCAGCGATTTTTGGCTCCAGAAAAGGATTATTCACCATGAGTCTGTTTTTTGTTGAATACAGGCCTATCAAATGTAGATTATAAAAAATAAATAAATGAAATTGACTTTTAATTCCTAAAAGAGCCCTGACCTTTCCTCTAGCGCCTCCATCAGGCCAATATTTTAATCTGAAACAAATTATCTTAAAAGGTTTTATCTAAATGTGTCAAATTTAAGGACTCCAATCATTGGATCCTCATTGGTTTTCATGATTATTTGACCTTTCATGTAGCACCACCATCAGGTCAAAGTTCGAGAGAACCTTGAAAATGATTTATCCAACTTACTCAAATTCATGACATCTTAATTTTTTCTGTCCTTCTTGGCAATCGGGGCAAAGTCTGCTCTGAATTTAAACAGATTCATGAAAAGCTCAAATGAAATCATGATCTTTAACTATGACTTCATATCTGGTGATAATATCCACAGTTCTAGGTTGGCCTGGGAAAGGGGAGTGGCTATTGACACTCATTCATGATGTGGTTTGGAGAACTTCTGCAGGTGTGGATGTCAGGTCACACACTGACAGACAAGGGTTAGACAGAAAACAGCTTTGACTGTAGTGATTGCACTAAACTGATTTAAAAAATAGTTCTTCTATTTTGCTGCTAAACTAGAAGAAATAATTGCATCTCTGCTTCTGTCTCCTTGAACCCCAGTCGGTCTCAGCAGATGGCCGCTCACACTGAGCCTGGTTCTGCTGGAGGTTTCTTCCAGTTCAAAGGGAGTTTTTCCTCCCCACTGTCGCTACAAGCATGCTTAGTGTGAGGGATTGCTGAAGAGTCAATGAGTCGATGCAATCAGCTGGTTTTCCTTAGATAGAAAACTTTGAATCAATCTGACTGATCTGATGAACTTTAAAGTGGAGCTATATAAATAAACTGAATAGAATTGAAAAGTAACATAAATATAACCGTCGCCGATATGCTCGTTTGGGTCCCAACAGGGTCCCCGTTTAACACTCTTTGATGATGCATTATTATTGTAATAACATTTGCTCAAATGATTAGATGTTATTAGCCTAAAATCATGAAATAAGTGGCTTGGATTTGACATAAGATGTGATATCCCATGACTTTGTTTAGTATTTATCAACTGAGTCTAACTGAGCAAAAACAGAAACAACTTTTGGGAAGAAAATGGTTGTTTCCCGAATGTAATGTTTGATCAAATCTAACGGAACATTTCTAAAGGATCCAGTATCTCTTTATGTTCTGAATTAGAAAGCTGTTGCTGTAGTTAATACTAGAAGTTGCTGTGATGTTTAATTTTTGGCGTTTTGTTTGCAGAGGAACCAAGGAATCTCAGACAGACCAGCTGCTGCAGCACATTTCTTCCTGTTAGCTAGTAAAAGCATCTGTTAGCTGGTAAAAGCGTCTATTGGCTTGTAAAAGCATCTGTTGGCTACTAAAAGCATCTGTTGGCTAGTAAAAGTTTTTGTTAGCTGGTAAAAGCATCTGTTGGCTAGTAAATGCATTTGTTAGCTGGTAAAAGCAACTATAGGCTAGTAAAAGCATTTGTTGGCTACTAAAAGCATCTGTTGGCTACTAAAAGCATCTGTTGGCTAGTAAAAGTGTTTGTTAGCTACTAAAAGCATCTGTTGGCTAGTAAAAGCATTTGTTAGCTGGTAAAAGCAACTATAGGCTAGTAAAAGCATTTGTTAGCTGGTAAAAGCAACTATAGGCTAGTAAAAGCATCTGTTAGCAGATAAAAGCGTCTATTGGCTTGTAAAAGCATCTGTTGGCTACTAAAAGCATCTGTTGGCTAGTAAAAGTGTTTGTTAGCTGGTAAAAGCATCTGTTGGCTAGTAAATGCATTTGTTAGCTGGTAAAAGCAACTATAGGCTAGTAAAAGCATCTGTTGGCTAGTAAAAGTGTTTGTTAGCTACTAAAAGCATCTGTTGGCTAGTAAAAGCATTTGTTAGCTGGTAAAAGCAACTATAGGCTAGTAAAAGCATCTGTTAGCAGGTAAAAGCGTCTATTGGCTTGTAAAAGCATCTGTTGGCTACTAAAAGCATCTGTTGGCTAGTAAAAGTGTTTGTTAGCTGGTAAAAGCATCTGTTGGCTAGTAAATGCATTTGTTAGCTGGTAAAAGCAACTATAGGCTAGTAAAAGCATCTGTTGGCTAGTAAAAGTGTTTGTTAGCTACTAAAAGCATCTGTTGGCTAGTAAAAGCATTTGTTAGCTGGTAAAAGCAACTATAGGCTAGTAAAAGCATTTGTTAGCTAGTAAAAGCATTTGTTGGCTACTAAAAGCATCTGTTGGCTAGTAAAAGTATTTGTTAGCTGGTAAAAGCATCTGTTGGCTAGTAAAAGCCTCTGTTAGCTAGTAAAAGCCTCTGTTAGCTAGTAAAAGCATCTGTTGGCTAGTAAAAGCATTTGTTAGCTAGTAAAAGCATTTGTTGGCTACTAAAAGCATCTGTTGGCTAGTAAAAGTATTTGTTAGCTGGTAAAAGCATCTGTTAGCTAGTAAAAGCCTCTGTTAGCTAGTAAAAGCATCTGTTGGCTAGTAAAAGCATTTGTTAGCTGGTAAAAGCATCTGTTAGCTAGTAAAAGCCTCTGTTAGCTAGTAAAAGCATCTGTTGGCTAGTAAAAGCATTTGTTAGCTGGTAAAAGCATCTGTTAGCTAGTAAAAGCCTCTGTTAGCTAGTAAAAGCATCTGTTGGCTAGTAAAAGCATTTGTTAGCTGGTAAAAGCAACTATAGGCTAGTAAAAGCATCTGTTAGCTGGTAAAAGCATCTGTTAGCTAGTAAAAGCCTCTGTTAGCTAGTAAAAGCATCTGTTGGCTAGTAAAAGCATTTGTTGGCTAGTAAAAGCATTTGTTAGCTGGTAAAAGCAACTATAGGCTAGTAAAAGCATCTGTTAGCTAGTAAAAGCCTCTGTTAGCTAGTAAAAGCATCTGTTAGCTGGTAAAAGCATCTGTTAGCTAGTAAAAGCATCTGTTAGCTAGTAAAAGCCTCTGTTAGCTAGTAAAAGCATCTGTTGGCTAGTAAAAGCATTTGTTGGCTAGTAAAAGCATTTGTTAGCTGGTAAAAGCAACTATAGGCTAGTAAAAGCATCTGTTAGCTAGTAAAAGCCTCTGTTAGCTAGTAAAAGCATCTGTTAGCTAGTAAAAGCATTTGTTAGCTGGTAAAAGCAACTATAGGCTAGTAAAAGCAACTATAGGCTAGTAAAAGCATCTGTTAGCTAGTAAAAGCATTTGTTAGCTAGTAGAAGCGTCTGTTGGCTAGTAAAAGCATCTGTTGGCTAGTAAAAGCATTTGTTAGCTAGTAGAAGCGTCTGTTGGCTAGTAAAAGCATCTGTTGGCTAGTAAAAGCATTTGTTAGCTAGTAGAAGCGTCTGTTGGCTAGTAAAATAACAGAACCAAGCGAACTTGTTAATGTATGCTTCAGATAAAATAGCCTGGGCTTCAGGAGCCTTTAGAGCATATTGTAGACATCTGCAATATGCTCTAAAGGTCTAGCTAACGCTAATGCGTCAAGCATAAATTAAGGTTAGCTCTTTGCTCTCAAATTCCCTGTAATTTCTAACAGCTGCAGGTTAGACGGAAACCACTTCAAAACAATCCCATTTTAAAATGCCTGAACTCTAAGAATCTTCTTTATTTGAATGATCAGTCCAGCTCTTCCATTTTCTATCAAAACTTTAAATCTGCCACCATCATACTAACTACTGCAAGGCAGGAATGTTTCTGGCTATAGAAGAAAAAAACAACAACTATATATTTTCATATCTAAGGAAATGTTTCTAAATTTAAAGAAAAATGCTATTATCAAGGATTTCCATAAACATCGGTGCCTAATCTAATCTAAGAAAATGTCTTAGTTGTCCTCAGTGACTTAGACAACTTTCATTGTCATGTCGTATACACAGAGTGCGTACAAAACAAGAGTTCATTTTATACAGCTTTCATGACATTTCCCTTTCTTAAAGTGCAGCAGTGATCAGATGTAAACATTGGGGGAAAATAATAATAATGCAGTGTTAGCAGCTCCCAGGCGAAAGAGTAAAAGAAAGCTGATGGTGGTCTAAGAAGGTCACAGACAAGAAAAGAAATCAGAATGACAGATCCTACCAAACTTCAGCGTGTCCTTCAGTGCTCACGCTGGTGCCTCAGGCTAAGAGGTATTGGTGGAATGTGACAGCAAGGTGAAGGCAAAGAGAAAAGGCCTGAATGGTGTCAGCAGGAAAGCAGTCCTCAGGGAGACGCCATGCTCTGTGGGCTAGCTAGAGTGGCTGGGACTCAAATGGACCATGACCTGCTTCCAGGACCATCTGCTGAGTATAAAGTTCTGCTTAGAGAACGACCGCAGGGCTCTGCGATGTTAGAAAGCATGAAGCTCTGAAAATAACCGCCGGCTTCTGTCAGGGCGAATACAAGGCGTCATATCAACAGTCAAACCGTGTTTTACAGCCGCGGTACCAGGCGTCTGTCAAAAACACTGATTTCACTCTTATTTATGGATAGATACTAAATATTGTTTAAACAGGAGCAGCTAATTAGGAGAAACATTGCTTCATGTTCACCATCCTGTACAGTGAAACCTGCATGCTGAGATAAACAGATTAAATACAGAGAAAGCAGCAACTTCTCAGACTCGTTTTAACATTAAAGTTTATCGAACTCTGATGATTATTACTTATTTCTTTCTGTAGAATCAATCCCATCCTTTTCATCATCCATTCCTCTGCTCTCTCCTGCAGTTTGGACTCATTCCTCAGTTTTCTGAGCATGGTCCGAGCACCAGACTCACTTAAGCTAATGCTTTATATTGCCGAGGTCTTGCATGAAGAGCTTTTAGTTGCACATTTGCGTCGGCTGCTGCCTGGTAGCCTAATAGGTCTTCTATTAGTCATCCAGTCACGCTATATGGATGCTGATGTTGTACTAATGATATAGGAAGGGCAGCAGACCATCCATGCTGCTGCTGTTTATAGCTGTTGTGATTATTTTTCTATTTCTCTGTCAGCGGTACGATGTGATCACACTGACTCACTCCTTAGCTTTATTCTGCAGGCTAAGTCAGATGGACATTTATATCCTAATATTTATTCTCTCCATATTTCAGGTCATTACTTTGGAAGTCTCTTCATATTTGTGGTTCTGTAATGATCCAGTGTCTCTGTGGGATAAACGGTCCAGCTGTGGTCAGCTGGACCTGAACGCTGAGATGCTCCTATATCACATCTATCCACTCATCTCTGAACGCAGGAGGCGCAGTAAATGGGAACGAACCCACTGACTGGGAAACAACCCAGCAGACTCATCGAGATTAAAAACCACAATAAGGAAACTTGAATTATAATTTAAAAAAACTTTTTGCACAATTTTATAGCAAACAGTGTTATATTAGAAAAAATAAAAGATAGCATCTGAATTCAGTTAGCAAAAATCAAATAAATGAAAAGAGTAAATGAGATTAGTGTAAATGGGCATGAAGTTTGGATGTTTCCAGAGATGATCTCGGCAGCATTCCTTCATCCTAATCTAGTTATCCATGATGAACATGTCCAATTAACTGCCAGCGGATCCCCTGATTCCTGCAGCAAGCTGATTAGCTCTTGTCCACAGCCTTTGCCGTAAATCCCCAGCCGGCTGCTGTAACGTCTCCAGGTTATGGTAATATTGAAAATGTTGCTTGATTGACACTTCTGTTAATCTAGATTAAAGCTCATATCTGTTTTCTCTATGGTGCATAAAACATGCTCGGTTACACACTTTAAGAGACATGTTGTAGAGCTGCAGGGTTTCTGGTGGAGAGAAGTTCTCCCTCAGTAGGGAAGAACATTCATTGCAATAAATGTCGTTCTAGGATGGTAGAAAAACTCACGGAACATTTATTTGTTCTGCACTGCTCTAATCTGAATTATATTATCATTATTCCGACTTCTAACCTCCTCAGTTAAGATGGACAAAACTAATTTAATGTAAGTTGGCTGATAATTTTAGTCCAACTGGACAGTTTTCAATCACTTATGTTTTACTCTTATTCCAAATTGTAATAATCTTAGAAAATAACAAATCTTATTTATTAGAATTTAGCATAAATTACCCAATTTTCAGATTTTTTTGTTTTATTTTAATTAATTTTAATTCAATAATCAATAGAAAATCTAACTTTTCGGCATTGACCCAATGAGGTTCTCCGTGAAGAACTCTGAAGAAGGCGATTATTTTCGAAGAGTTTGGAATACGGCTGTAAAGTAAGGAAATGAGGAAACCAGTGCTATTAACACGCTGCAGTCATGCAGCTAATAAATGGTTTCTGAAAAGCAAAGAAAAAGGTAAATTCTGAGTCCACTGAGTCTGACTTTAAAGAAGCTTTATTTTCCAAGTAGCAGTGGGAGACCTCAGGGTTCGGTCCCAACCAAGAAGGTTCAGCAAGGAATCATGTTTTTAAAGAATCAGAAAATATTACATTTAGGTTGAACATCCAATGACTGTATTTGGCATTATTCTGGGTGTGAGGAGTGAGAATGAGAGCGAAGGCACCAGCTGGCAAACCTGGGTGAGGTGGGGTGGGAACTATTGTGATCTTTTCTGCCTACAGCCTCTTTACAAGTTTGTCTGAACTGAAGCTCAGTCTCGTCCAATAACAGTTGCCTGCTATGTTGTTTCATGGTTATGTGACATTGAAAGGTAGAAGTTATTAGTCACTGGTTACACCTTTGTTAAAACAATCACATTCATTTAATCTCCATTGCAAGAATGACTTTTACTGTAAAACTAAAGGCATCTATTTGATGTTAACTTTCCACAGGTGGCCATAAATTTGTGACAGAGGGGGAGCATTTGGAGCTGATCTCTATCACCAAGGAGCAGTCGGGAACATACGAGTGCATTGCCTCTAACGACATCTCCAGCTCCGACATAAGGAGGGTCCAGGTCACGGTCAACTGTAAGCACCACACTCTCACATTCATGGTCACAGTTTGCCTCAATGGCCTGTTAAATGTCATTAATCTCCGTTACCACTTCATCCTATGGCCCTTTAGCCACAGGGCCAACGTCACCTTGCTCTACTCCACCAATTTTCAAACGTTTCCCTAACTGTATAAAGGTTTCCACCCATAGTTGACTTGAACTCTGAACCAGTCCTGCAGTAGATCCTCTACTTATCTTGACTTTACCATCTTAATCTACTAAGGCAGAGGAAGCTGTGCCACAGATCTTTGAATGGCTCAGAAAGTAGGAGCCAGAATTCAGGCAAGACAGAAAGTGGGTTACTTAAAAAGCGTTTATTCAAACCATGACTGAAACGCATCTGCAGCGGCTGCAGCGGGTAGAGAGTCTGAGGCAGAAAAGTCTATAGGAGAGAAACACAGGTTAGTTATTACGATAATCTGAGGATTATTATGAACGTGTGAGTCACTAACCTGGTTTAGCAGTTCAATCCGTGCCCAGTGAAGGAGGTAAGATGCAGCCGGTGTGTCAGCCGATGACAGAACACAGCGGACACCGCCAGAGAGTTCCAGACGCTGAAGTCTAGAAGCCTGCCGAGCTGACAGGAGATCAGATCTGAGCAGATGATGGAGGAAGGCAGGATAATCCAGAGGGTGAAGTCAAGAGGCAGATACTGCTTCAGTCTACAGAAGAATCAAACAAGACTCCAAAGACGGGTCAGGCCAACAGATCAGACAGGGGCAGAGAGGCTCAATGGTCCAAATACAGAAACAGATCAGGATCAGGCAAACAGAAATCACTATTAGAAATGCTGGAGAACTCTCAACACCAAAGGCTAAAGAATAACCTGGCACTGATGGCTGGGACCAAGGAGTTTAAATAGATGCAGGAGCAGGTGGACCAGATGAGCAGTGATGAGGAACAGGGCAGAGTTAGACAGGTGAATTATCAATCGAGCCAACCTTCAGCAGCAAAATCATGACAATCTCATGGATAGAAAAAAACATGCACACAGTCTAACAGTCCAAAAAAAGGACCCAAACCTTCGGTTCACTGGTTTTTATCCTGCAGACCAGTGTTAGTTAACTTCAGTGCTGGAGGGCCGGCGTACTGCCTGCTTCAGCACACTGGATTTCCATCCATGGCTTTTGTTGAACTGCAGTCATTTGGTTGGTTAAAGCAGACTCATCTTAAAGCTGCAGTAATCCAGCCTCTGAGGTCTGGAGTTGACTACCTCTGGTAGACCCACACCCAATTAGGGAAGAGCACTACCTCAGTGTATCAGTGAAGGCAGAGTGTGACGCGCCAGGGGGCCTTATCTGTTACCAACAGATGTTTCCTTCTCACTTGTCCCTTTTGTTAGTGAGCAGTATGTTCTGCACCACAGAAGAACAGGATGTTCTAGTTCCCCACTACTCCAACACATTCACTTCCTTAAGAAAGCTGCAGAGATTCATTTCAGCAAAACAGTTAAACATGAGGTCATGGTTATGTGCTGGATTATTGGTTATTTGCTTGACTGATATATAAACTATCCAGCAAAAGGCGGTGAAAATGGGAATTATTTTGACTTCGTCTCAAAATCCTTCTTTTTTTAAAAGATGTTCAAATCACTGAGGTTCCTCTATGAGTGCGTTCAATCATTGCCCAAATGTATAATTCAAGGATGCTTGCGTCTAGATAACATTCCTTTATGCAGGGTTTAATGCTAATAAAATTCATGGTTTGATAGGTTTTGGCGAGATGTTCAGTTCCTGAACAGAGAAGCAATGAAAGACCATTATACTTCCTCTAACATGTTTTACCATCCAATGTATAACACTTCACCTTAATAGAAATGAAAATTGCATTTTTAGTAGGTTTCTGGATATTTAAAATATTTCTATGAGCTGAAAAAAACTAATCTTGAAGAAATCTGTAAGGAGAAATTATCTTTTTCAAAGCATGAGTTAAATGGCAGAAAAACACTTTTAGTTCATACTGGATAGAAATGTTCTCTCATTCTATAGATCTGCACCTTCTGTGTAAAACCTTCCAAAAACAGACCTACCTGTGCCAGCACACATGAAGGTGCACTAAATATTCAAGGAGGCCACAACAGAGCCTGTCTATCTAATCTGGTTCTGGAACATTCTCAGGCTGAGTTTTGCACCAATTAGTGAAATGGAGCCCAGGCAGAAGTTCAACTGAAGAAACTCGTTGCTCTCCTACATCAACCTGCGACACAGCCAATCAGCTTTGAACCACGCCTCCACGAAAGCCAATCGGCATCCAAAGTTCATCTTAAAAGGCCTCCGATCGCACTCCTCCGCTCCTGTGCTCAGGCGGCGGATGCGCTCTGACTTTATTCAGATGACACCAATTTAACTCGAAGTGACTTTGGATCCTTTGCTCCGGCTGCTGCTCGGATCCTCTGACACACCTGTTGATCCATGCAATGCTGCAGAGATCGGCGGCTCCGCCACGCCCTGTTCCCCCGTCTCCAAACATTTCTGTGTTTCAGCCATCGGCAGCCACATCGGCTCGCTCTGCGTTCAGCTCTCTGACACCGATTCTCTTCCATTGGGACGTATCGCTTCAAGCCTCCATTGTTTCCTCATTCATACCTTCACTTCTTTGCTCTATTAAAAATATCCCATGCTCATGCTTCTGCAGCTCACAGCTTCTCATCGTTAATTAACATCAGTCCTCTGATCTTTGCTTTCAGGTCTCCGGCTGGTTTTTATTCCATTATCTCTGTCAATCATGTCATATAATCAGCAGATTGTGCGCTGCTTTGATGGATAAGTCATGTCATACCTGCGTTTCTTTCAGTCTGTTTCCGTTTCAACTCATGCTTAATTTAAGGTAGCCTGAATTTAGAAACCGAAGTTTAGTGGAAAGTAGTTGTTCCTATTGTCACTGACTTTAATTAATCATTTAAACCTAATATTTATGGTTCCCTCCATCCTCCCAGTGGGCGCCTCATGGCACCTTCCATCCTCCCGGTGGGCGCCTCATGGCGCTTACATCTTCGCAGCGGGCGCCTTCCATCTTTTTGCGGGCGCCTTCCATCTTTGTGGTGGGCGCCTTCGCTCTTCGCAGCAGGCACCTCATGGCGCCTTCCATCTTCACACTGGGCGTTTCATGGCACCTTCCATTGTGGGTGTTTATGGCACCAGCATTGCAGTGGGAATTTTATGCTGACTTCTAGCATCGCAGCAGACGGCTCATGGCGCCTTCCATCTTCGCAGTGGCCGCCTCATGGCGCCTATCATTGTGGGTTTTTATGGCCCCAGCATCGCGTCAGGCATTTTATGCCACCTTCCATCTTCACTGCGAACGAAGAAACTCGTCGCTCTCCTACATCCGCCTGCAACACAGCCAATCATCTTTGAACCAAACCCCCATGCAAGCCAATCGGCATCCAAAGCTCATCTCAAAAGGCCTCTGATACGCACTGTCTGCTCCTGTGTGCATGTGGTGGTTCCGCTGTCTGACATCATTCAGATGAAACCATTTCCTCCCCCCTCCACCATCGTAGCTAAAGCTTCATCAGAGCGTCATTCCTCCCGGACTCTTACTGCGTTCTCTGTCTCATCTTAACCGGTCCGGCAGAACACCGCCATGCTGAGCCTGGTTCTGCCAGAGGTTTCTTCCCAACTGGGAGTTTTTCCTCTCCACTGTTGCTTCATGCTTGCTCATCATGGACAGGTTCTTTCAACCTGTGTTATCCAACTGGACTTCCATCTTCCAGATCCCTGAGTGAAGCTCTAGTATCAGCTCACGCAGTCCACTGGATCTTTCCATAAAGCTCAGCAAACCGTCTCTCTAACCAGCAGTCTATAGACTGACCAACTCCATCTATCTCCACTGCACCACCAGTTTCAGGCCTGGGGGGGAAACAGCCCTGTTCTTTATTCCAGTTCATGCATATCTATCAAAATTAAGCGCTATGTTTCCTGCCGAGGTCTGAGCACCAAAGACTAAGTAATGGTTTCAATAAAATTCTCCTAATTGTCTTTTATCTCTGTGTGAGTATTTCAGATTGAACTGAGTGTGCAACTGGCACCGTCTCTGCAAAGGCTGCTTCAGGGCGAGATACCTGAATACCAAGATATGATGACTAGTGCCATCAAATCCTAAAGTTCTGCTCAAACTAACAGACTAAACAAGTCAGACTTTACATTTCTTGTTTTATATAGTGACCAGTCTGACTTAAAGAAATACAATTAAAATCCAGAATTAAAATCTGTAAGAAATAAACTCAGCAGACATCATCTGATTCTCCAGAAACATTGCTGGTTCAAATTATCATTGTAAGAAAAAATGTTGATGGCTTAAAAAACAGAGAAAGTTAGTCTTATCTCTAAGTACCATGTTTGGTTTTGTTCTTACTATATGAGGGTAGATTTGTTTCTTTACAATTCAATAAAAAAAAGGTTACTTGAGTCAAAAAATATATTTTCAAAAAGACCTTCACTTCAATAAAAAAAAACCTTTTCAATCAAAGAAATAAAGAAAGAAATATAGTTGACTCAAAAAACTACATTTGAAGTCTTATTTTGTTTGATTGGAAATATTTTCTTTGATATAAGTCAATTTTTATTTGTTTAAAGTCATGTTTTAGTTGAAGTAATATTGTTTTTTTGATTGGACCATATAACGGTTTGGACATCAGTGTCTCTATCATTCAAAAAGAAGTTGCTTAAAAAAAAAAAAAAAAAAAAAAAGTTTTCAATCACAGAAAATAGTTTTTGACTGCAGATAAAATATTGGAGACTTCAAAAATTTAACTCTTTTTTTATATTATTGAAAATGTTCTCTTTTATCGTAGTAATCTTTTTTGTGTTTGGACCTTACATACCTCATCCTAACATGGGGAGGACATTTGACTGTTTCAATCGAAGAAAAAACTGTTCAAATGCAAAAAAATACTCACCTGAATTTTTGTTTTTAGAAGATAATGTTTTTTGTATTTTTCTTTGAATGAAAAAAGTTGTGTGCAAGACGTTGTGGTTGGTGTAGACAGCTGTCAATCAAAGAGGTCTGACCAAAAGAGAAGCACCCGCCCACTGCGACACGTTGGTGGCAAAATAATTCAAACAAAAACAACACTTCAAAACTTTCTTCAGTTTAAAAAACAAAGCAAAACAAAAAAAAACATTATCTTTAAAACTTTTTTATTCAGGTTTTTTTTTTAAAGTTTTGCTCTCTGCTCTCCGTCGTATGCAGTGAAAAGTAAAACTCTTTTACTGGTTGGTCTTCATTCCTGCCCTTATCTACGCTCATTAAATCTGGACCCAATCGCTGTCCAACCCAGGACACTATGGAGGGACAGTGTCTCTGGCCTGGCAGCTCCTCAGGCTTCCCCAGGAGGACTCTGGGGGGAGGGAAGCCTGGGGGTCTCTGCTGAGACTGCTGGTCCCACATTAAGTGGAGGACGATGACCACATGGTGCTGAAAATGTTGCTTTACTTTCTAGCAGTCATTTAGAGATGAGGTGATAATACTTTAAAAGTGACCTAAACGGATTATTAAGATAGAAGTGTTGTCATGCTGTGAATATTCTGTTGATCAGGTTAGATAAATGCTGCTGTTTCTGTTTTGTTCTTTTCATTTTCAGACCCTCCCTTCATTTCAAAGGCGAGGAGTACAGGAACTCCAGTTGGACAGAGAGGAGTTCTGCAGTGTGAAGCCTCGGCGGTTCCCAGGGCAGAATTCGAGTGGTACAAAGAAGACCGCAGGCAAGGATCCTCCCTGTTCTGCTGTTCTTCTGCTCTGCATCTATATGAATGACTCACAGTTTGACTTTTGGGAGAATACTGCGCCTAAACTCTCTTGTTTATTTATTTACCAGTGGTGGTCCTTCACGTTTTCATGCTTTTGATTAAGATGATTAGGAGATAGAGACGGGAAAATGACTTTCTGAAAAGCTTAGAAGCTGTTAAACATGAGGAGCTGTAAATCCCATATAAAACACTTTCATTTTAAATATTTACATTCTCTAACAGACATACATTTTATCACTCAAACATATAAATTCTAGAATGGTGCTGCTTAAGTAGCTCTGCTAGCTTTACTCTGGTATTCTTTTGTTCACTGTTTGTCAGTTGTTGGGAAACTGGAAGGATTTTCTTTTTCCTTTTTTTATACCCTTTATAATGCGTAACCACAGCAACCCAAGCAAGTGGATCTTTTTATCCCTGGGAGGGGCTAATTAACAACTCTAAACCTGAAATAATACATCCACTACTTCCATAAGTACCTGCTGAGAGGAGAAGGAGATGGATTCAGAGCAGGAGTGAGGAGATGAGGGAGGAACAAGAAATTCAAGCCATCTCATCCATCAATCATCATGGGCAATGTGAGATCTTTAGAAAACAAGTTAGAAGAACTTTAAGCCCCAGCAAGGACCCAGCAGACATCAGCAATGCAGCATTATGACTGGGACACCTAATGGAGGGGGGTTGGCAGTGTTAGTGATCAACAGATGGTGTCATCCAGGACATGTCAGTGTGAACATTCATCACTGCAGCCCAGATGTTGAACTGTTGGCTCTCTGTCATGATCTCAGCTTCTCTGATCAATCACCTCATTCACCTGCTGTTCCCTCCCCGCTCTCCAATTATCATTCATCTTATTCACCTGCTCCCTCTGCTATATATGCGTTAGGGGGGGTGGGGGTGGGGTCATGACGGAGGTAGATTCCTGGATTCCCTACGGGGCCTGTGATCATGACAGTTTTGATGGTTGACTGAGTAACTTTTACTTGTAATTAAGTAAGATTGGAGTATGTGTTACTGTAGTATTTACTTTCCCTTTGAGATCAACAAAGTATTTCTACATTTAAATATCTCTTACACAAATATATTTAAACTTTCAAATGCAAATATTTCAACTCTCACTCCTGATCAAACATCTAGGACCAGTTAAAAAATGGCAAGAATGAACATTTTGCATCGTTGCATCTTAGAGCTTCCAAATAAAAAAAAGAAGGGATGAGATTAAGATAAAGATCAGATAAGCAATTTATTGCAAACAAGCATTTAACCATTTAAGGTGATTGGAAATGTAAGAATAAACTCATTTAACAGTTTCTTTGGATTATTTTCTGACCGGTTTCCAGTCTCATGACCTCCTGGTGGTAAAAACAGAACAGCTTTCAGAATGTGATCGTATTTTTGAGCTGCATAAACTCGATCACTGGTAACGTCTCGTTGCTGCTGAGACTGGAGACCATCTTTCTATACGTCTATGGAGATCCTGATGGTTATGGAACAAAAACATCACCCAGAAATAATTCCCCAGCCTCGAGCTGGAGGCTCCAACTGGTTCAAACTGCAGTTCTATAACTATCAGGCAGCATCAGAGAGAAAAGGTTTTAAAAATGTGTTTTCAAAGGCCTTTTCTCCTTCAATTGCACAAAATTGCCCTTTTAGAGTTTAAACAAGATCACCAAACAGAAGGTGGAAAAAGTTTTATTTTCAGACGAGAAAATGTAAGTTTGACAGTCCTGATGGGTTTTAATGTGTCTGGAAAGACAAGCAGATCCCATGGGAGGAGCTTTCTAAACGACAGGCTGCCTTTGGGATCAGGGGAACATTTCCTTCAGCCGAGCTTCAGGTTGTGGAGCGACGTCACGGCAGCTGGCTATGCAGAGATGTTTCAGAAGGCCTCCCTCTTTACTGAAGGCCTTCATTCGTGTGCCGATGAATTACTCCTTAGATTAACTCTTTCATCAGTCTTGGTATTTACTTCATCTTTGCTCTGGTTTTAATATGTTTAATATCCTTCCCCTAAAGCCGTTGAAGCAAAGTTATGCAGATTTAGCAGAACCTCAGTGAGATTCTGCAAACAATGGAGTTCTTCTTCTTCTTCTTCCAGATGACATCTGAATGACTCAATAAAAGTAGCACACCTAACCTTTTTTATTTATTCTGTTTTTTATTTTTTTTTTATTTTAACAAGTGATTCAGTAAACAAACTCACCCTGAACGCACCATCAGTGAAGCACAGGACAGAAGTGGAATAACGTCCAGTTTTTTATTTGATCAGGAAACCTTGCAGTGAAATGATGCTCTGGATTAAAATGCTAAATATCAGCAGATATTGGGGGAACGGGTGTAGGAGGCAGGAGATGTGACCTCAGGGTCACAGATTTGATCCCAGCATTTCAGTCCTTGTGTCGTCAGGCTGGACGTTTCCCTAAGCACCACCTGATGGTGATCAGAGCGCCCTGCGGCCCCTGGTACGGCAGCACCACTGCTGTCAGTGAGCCCCAGGGCGGCGGTGGCTACACTATAACTCACCTCCATCAGTGTGGGAATAACTGAATATAAATCCTTTAGAGTCTCTTTACTTAGAAAGGTGCTTTATAAAAACAGGCCTATTTACAGTAGAGCTGCTTCATATGGGACTTTATCACATGTATTATTTATTCTTATGCTTTTTTATGCTTAAATGTGTTTCTTACAAATATGATGAATTATGCAATTTAAAAGAGGCTTTCTTCCCAGACCAGAAACCGTTTTGGCAGCTGATGGGTGATCTTTATTTTGCAGGCTGCTGAATGGAATAAACGGCCTTAAAATAGAGACTCAAGACAAACAGTCGCTGCTCATCTTCTTCAACGTGTCTGAAGAAGACTATGGAAACTACACCTGCGTTGCCATGAACACGATGGGGATCACTAACGCCAGCATAATTCTTTATGGTAAGAATATAAACACATTTCTTCAAACTGCATAAAGGTGTAGAAGGCTTTGTTTCCTCATGGATGTAGTTATTTCCTCATGCAATGAATAGTGAAGTGTATTTAAAATTAATAAATACTAAAACCACTTTTCAGTCTATATTATTCCTACTCCAAATATATAAACTTTCTATGTCTACAGACATAGAAATGGAAAAATATTTTCTAACATCTATAGCATGTAGTTTAGCTGGTATCCAGCTTTTAAAGCTCATTATTTCTATGAAATGTTCCATGAAATTTAACTTGTCATTTACGCCCACTGATAGCAAACACATGGAAATATGTGCTTATATTTGAAAGCCATCCTCTCTTTTTAAAACAACCAACTATGAGGATTTTTTTTACATCACTGCAAAAAATATTTTTTTCTTAAAGCTACAGTGTGTAATAATTACAGGCATATAAAGTCAGAAATTTAATATATTATACATAACTATGTTATTTATCATCACCTATGAGCTCAGCCTTTTAACCATAATATTTGCGCTGCCTTAGAATTCGTTATTTATAATTACATAGGAGCGGGTCTCGCAGCCATGGAGGCAGACATCTTTGCGCTACGGCAGCCCAGAGGCAACAAACTAGCGATTGCGAGATCTCCCATGCATTCGAAAATAACTACGGCAAGTTGAGAGAGATTAACTGAGACGGTACTGAACAGTAGATGGCAGTATTATGCCTGAGAAGCGTTTAGTCTGCCTGAAACCAAAGAAGAAGAAGAAGCAGGTATACTGCGCCTCAGTAACAAGAAAGGTGAACAAGGCGGCAGGCGTGAGTGACTTTGCAAACTGTTTGGCACTGTGTGGCCAAACATCAGACGAATGGAGGATCATGCCTACTCTGTATCACAACGAAAAGCGGCGGACACCGAACCCCCGTCATCTAAGAAGCGGAAACACGACGAGAATAAACGCAAGCGTGACAAGAAACGGCAAAAAACACGGATCAACATTGGCACGGCATTTACACGATGGAAGTCACTGATGGAGGAAAAAGGTTTTCAAAGTGACGCTCAAGTTGCCAGTTTTCTCTTGGACAGGTAATTAATCCTACACACACAATTGTCTAAGATCACTGCAGTTTTTGGAGTACAGGATGCTCAGACCTGTCTAAAACAATAACATGCTGCGTGATGATGCTGTTACTCTCCAGTATACTTATTCAGCAACGTCCCTGACGTTTCACAGGTAATGATTCAGTAATTTTCTGTAAAATAATTTTCTGGATATATACCTCGGTTACTTCTCTCCGGCTCCTTTGGAGATCTTCAAGCCTTTCCTCCTCTGCTCTCACCCCGCTGGCTCCCCTCTCTCGCCTGGCCCTAGCTGCACGCCCACCCCGGCCTCTCTGCCCTCTTCCTCTCCCTCTTCCTTGCCTTGTAACCCCCGTGCCACAAACAAGACTTGGACTCTGTAAACGGGGAATATATATTCTTCCAGCGAACACAATCTCGCTGTTAAACTAATGACTACAATTACTTCGTCTGTTTATATCACCATGCAAAGCAGCTCACCAAGACGTCACAACGACGTAGAAAAAATAACGGGTATATTTATTATCTTAAGTCTACATGAAATCTATACCCTACACAGACTAATGAAATACTATCTGTAAAATTATCTATGTAAACAAACCTCATCACTTGAGAAGGTAGGTGATGCGGACGTCGTGGAAGACATTTTGTCCCGTAACGCTCGCCGTACTGTTGGGGGGGAGAAGCGGTGGGGGGGAGATGTTCATGTTGCTGCAGTCTGCAGTCTGACCGCTAGATGTCGCTGAAAATTACACACTGTAGCTTTAAATAAGTCAGTTTTTTCTTGAATTGAGGAAGTAAGATAAACACTTTACCAAAGGAAGAAGACAATTTACATTTAAAATCAGAAAAAAGAATTGCATTGTCTTACTTCAAGGGCCGTTGTTTTTATCATATTTTTCTAAAAGTGAAGATACTCATTCCATTGGCAGATCATCTTATTTACCTGATCAAAATAATGGTAAATATAAGAATGTGAGGAATTTTTTACTTATTTCTAGAAGTGTTTTTGCAGTGTGAGGCACCTCTTTGTTTAGTGCAGAAACACACACGGTTCTACGAGTTCTTCCTGTCCAAAAATCAAACAAATGTACAAAATATTGTAACTGCAAATTAATATTAATAATTTATATCTGTCAGGTTTTTAATTTAAAAATACAGGGAATTTTACAACATCTTCTGAAAACCCTTTGATTCCAGCATAAGAAATTTGAAATAAAAACAATGGATAGCGATCTACAATAAGGTGATCAGATAACAAAGGTGTAAAGTAACAGAGTAGAAATACATTACTTTACTGATGTAGAAATGTTGGTTATCTATTCTTTACTGGAGTAATTATGTTTAGATAACTTTCTACTCCTTATATTTTGAAAATAGTTTTGTTTCATTTAAGCTACTTTTCATTATGGCCTGTTGGTATTTAAAGAAATTTTAAAAACCATCAAGATAATTTGTTTCATCCAGACAATTAATTTTGTTGTTGTTGGACTCGGTGCTGCCCCAACTTGTTGCTCACCATATACAAAAAAAAATAATAGTTTATCAAGATGATGCAAAATTAAATGTGACTCTGTTAGCATTAGTTTTAAAACTAAGAAAATAGAGTCTAAGGGCCGGATTTATCAAGATCCAATTTTGCGTGCAGTAATTTGCGCTCGCAAACTGGAATTTTGCGCGAGGGGCTGAACCATGGTTTGCGGGTGATTTAACAAGAGCGATTGCGTAACTGGTGGCAGGTGCAAAACTGTTGGAGACGCCCTATTTAAATGATGGTTTTGCGCGTTTTGTGGTTTGCGGCATGGCGAGTTTGGACAGCAGAAAGCGCAAAAGGAAATTCGACCCCATGGAAATGGAGGTGTTGGTGGATGAAGCCAACAAACATTTAAGTGAGCTACAGCAAAGAAGTGTGACTGTCACACAGAGGAACGCTATATGTGAACAAATCTGTAATAAAGTAAACGCTGTTGGTGAAACCTTGCGAACAGTGGATGAAGTAAAAAGAAGATTAGAAGGCGAACCAAAGAAAAACTGGCATATAACAAAACATCTGCGAACAAAACAGGAGGGGGCACAGTAGATGAGATGCCTCTGACCAGCATTGAGGAACAAGTACAGCTGACGCTCTGTGAGGAGCAAATCACTGGAATTGCAGCTCCAAAATGGCAATGCTGGATAAACGATATGTTTTGATGATCATTCCATAAAAATTCAAAAAAATTCAAAAAATATCCACTGGACTTGGTTTTCAAGATTTGAAGACGTTTCGCCACCTCTCCATTTGATGATCGTTTCCTCCTTCATTCCAAAAATATTCACACGGAGTGAAAAACTGCGTTCTCTGCGTCTCCTTGCTTCATTTCCATGTCTCCTTCTTGCAGCAATAACCGCTGCCATGTGTGCGCAATTACGCATACAGACCATTTGCACCTTCTTTTGAAACGTGTTAAATATAGAGTCAGATACCGTTAGCAAAATTGCTTTCAGGTTTAATAAATCACTTTGCGAGTGCTAAATTAATATATTTACATGTTCACCTCCCACAAGACGCACTTTTGCGTGTAAACGCCCCATATTGCATATTCATTGCAGAAAAAGTACTAAATGGATAAGAGGCGCTATTTAGTGCGTTTTAAAGACCAAATCCTTTTAGCACGCTGTTGATAGATCAGTTTGTACATTTTTTAGCGTGCGCAGTGAAATAGCTCACGTTTTTATACACGCAAACCTTTGATAGATCCGGCCCTAAGGAAGTTATCATCCAGAATTATAGAAAAATGTTCCTTTATAGGAGAGAGCAGGCCTTAACATTCCAAAAAAGTAAAAAAAAACAAAAAAAAACTATCCACTGGACAAACAGAAGACCTCTCCTATTTAGCCAGGCCAGCAATTCTCTTTAACCCCTTTCAGAGACATAGACAGGACTACTGGATAAAACCTGGAACTAAACGCTATTTCTGACATTTTGAATTGAAAAATCTTCCTGGATGGAAGAGAAACGTCTTCTAACTTGGAAACAAAGTCCAGAGGATTGATTTTAACTTTTTTAGAGTGACTCTGACCTGAATGACTGAGAATCGTCTCCAACATTCTGGCCTTAACATTTTTACTGCACTACTTTTACTTTTATACTTTAAGAAGTTTCAGAAATGGAACTTTTACACTTTTACTGGAGTAAAAAGCTGAAGTTAATCCTCTAACTTCCATAAAAGTGTTTTAAAACAGCAGGATTTAAACTGGAGGAATAAACATGAACACTTTGAACACCTCTGTCAGATTAGGATTGTAGCAACAGCTCTGATTCCACAGGCTGATCAATGTTTTACTGTAATAATAGAGGTAAATGAAGTGTGGCTGCTGATTGGGGAGGACAGCAGGAAAGAAGGTAAACTGCGGTGTTTTCCGGCCTAAACGAGACGGTTAACAGCTGAATTGTTTCTCTTCTTCAGGTCCTGGAGCGATGCATGATGTAAACGGGACGCCCATCTTCTCCTGTTGTTCTCTCTGCCTCCTGCTGACGATAACCTTATTCCACCTGCTCAAGTTCTGATGAAACCTGTGACCTTCACTTTAAGCTTCTCACAGCAGCGAACAGCAAGAACAGACGATTTAGTCCTTATGACAAGAAGAAGAAACCAAGAATGCCCGCGGTTCACTCTTTGTTTTCTTTCTAATTTCCTTCTGGCTTTACATCCGAGTCTGTTCTTTCCAGGTTCACCCAGAGTGAAAGGCAACTATGAAAACAAGGGAAGCGTTTAAACATGCACTAATTTGAAGATGGTAGAACTACAGAGCTTGTGTGTCTCCAAACCTTTTTGTACGTGAAATGGGAAAAAAAGAAAAAAAAACAGTGTGTTATCATTAATAGTTGACTGTTTATTGCCCAATATTGAAGTGTAAATTCAGATTAATACTATTATTGTGTGACTTCTGTTCAATATCTGTACAGTACCAGTAAGCTTTTTTAAGTGAATGACAAAAAAGGAAATAATGCAATGTGATTGTTGAATTTCACTGTATTTTTACAGTTGTATGCAAAACAGAAGAAACTGATCCTTTAAGACGATCAGTTGAGAATATTAAAGTATACACCATTATTTCTCAGGCAAAGTCCTCTAACATAGTGCATCCTCATTTTTACCTGTATCATCGTGTGCGTATAAAATGTACAGAGTGAACGTTGATCTCCCGCACTCTTAAAATGCATTCATTTCTGAATGGGCATCAGCACAGAGTCATAGCAGCTGCAAGGCACATTCCTGACAATCTGGATCCAGATTCATGTGAGTTTAACTTTGAAACAAATGGAAGAATGATGCTGCTGTCTGCAGACGGTCAAAGCGACCCGCCCTCAGCGGACGGCTGATTGACAGCATTCAGCCTCATTCTGTTTACCTCAATATAGCATCAGGTTCAATTAGCAGCTTTCTAATTACTGCTTATTAAGTGCTGCACTTATTTTTAGCCATTTCTATTTATAATTTCCAAACATTGTTATTCATCTGAATAATGTTAATTCTTTTTTTTTTAAATATGTGAAAATAAACATATTTAATCCATCCCTTGTTAGACCTTCACAGTGGTCCTCATGCTTCTTCTTTGACCAACAGTCCTCTATGCAACTTGACTCCATGTTTTCATTTTACCGCCATGTTTTGAGGTTAAACATAATTAACAGAAATTTAATTATGTATTACAACTTTCTCTGTCATCATATATTGTTCTACTTGTTTTTATTCTACAACTTTAACAAAACAGAAGTTAAAAATAAATGTTTTGTACTCTTAAGAAATAATTCAAGAAAAAAATATAATTTTAGCCGACATTAAGTTTTCTAAACCATGTTTTCTTATTTAATAGTAATTTCCTTCTATTTTTATAATTATATATTCCAAATGTGGGATGTTCTGATCAGGATTTGCTGTTTCTGACGTAGCCGCGTGTCAGATGGTACGGAAAAATCGATCCAGTACTTTATAACAAAAATATCTGATTTGCTGCTATCGTCATAAAATGATAGCAGCAAATAAATAAATAAATAAATGAAAAATAAAGGAAACACTTTAGAAAGCATTTTTTTCTAAAATAATATGGATATTAAACATCAATTTGAATGAAAAATACCAACAACTGAAGCAAAGAAACACAACCGGCCTCAAGAGATAAATAAACAGCAGCTGCTTGTTATGCAGCTCAGGTGGCCAACAGGATTCAGGAGGGAACAGTCCAGGCTCAGCCAGCAGGACACGCCCCTGTGGGCGGTCCCACAGTGTGGGGGGGGCGACAGTGTGTGGGGGCGACAGCGTGGGCGGTCCCACAGTGTGGGGGGGGGGGGGGGTGACAGTGTGGGGGGGGGGTGACAGTGTGGGGGGGGGGGGGTGACAGTGTGGGGGGGCGACAGCGTGGGCGGTCCCACAGTGTGGGCGGTCCCACAGGGTGGGGGGGGGGGGTGACAGTGTGGGGGGGGCGACAGTGTGTGGGGGGGGGTGACAGTGTGGGGGGGCGACAGCGTGGGCGGTCCCACAGTGTGGGCGGTCCCACAGGGTGGGGGGGGGGGGTGACAGTGTGGGGGGGGCGACAGTGTGTGGGGGGGGGGTGACAGTGTGGGGGGGCGACAGCGTGGGCGGTCCCACAGTGTGGGCGGTCCCACAGGGTGGGGGGGGGGGGGGTGACAGTGTGGGGGGGCGACAGCGTGGACTTCAGTTCATGCCATCTTAAGAAACTTTCCAGAGACAGATCAACCAGATCATCCAGTCAGATTGATTCAAAGTTTTCTATCTAAGGAAAACCAGCTGATTGCATCGACTCATTGACTCTTCAGCAATCCCTCACACTAAGCATGCTTGTAGCGACAGTGGAGAGGAAAAACTCCCTTTGAACAGGAAGAAACCTCCAGCAGAACCAGGCTCAGTGTGAGCGGCCATCTGCTGAGGCCCACTGGGGTTCAAGGAGACAGAAGCAGACATAGAAAAAGAAGCATAGATACAAAAGGCAACTGTCAACCAGCTCCACAGGCGGCCCCGTCCAGGAAACACACAGCCAGGCAGACGAGCTCCGAGCCAGCTCCCATGTCAGAGGATGAAGAGAGCACATCCAGTTAGTCACAGTCAGAGAAACAGGACTACACTGGAAAACAGGCCAAGCTCCAACATCTAGAAACAAAGGTGTTGATGGCAGCAGCACAGCTGATATTAAAAGAAAAAATAGATGGTGGAACATAAATGGCAGCCAAAATAACACTTATGAAGTCTGCTGGTAAATGATAGAAACCATCTAAATTTCCTGTCAACAGATCAATATCCAGGCTGTAGGGAACAAACTTAACGGTAACATGTCCAAGCCCCATCCCTTGCTTCTGCTTTCCTAACCCTCTTTCTACTTGTATGGTCAGAAAGCCCAGGATGAAACACTTTCTCCTGAAGCCATGTCTCAGTAGAACACACAATACAGCATCCCAGACATTCTGTCTAAGTCTTCACTCCACTTTGAATCGGGTCCAACTTCTTTGCTAAGGAAGTCAGATGAAGTCATTTCACTTTGCTTATAATGTGAAATGATTATGAATGACTTCAAGGTCTTCTTGCTCTTTCTTCTTCTTGCTGCTTCCTCCACGTGGTTGCTATCGCTTTACATCAAAACAAATGTACCAGTTTTGCTAAATTTGATCATAGAGAGGGCTGCACGGGGACCTTTCAGCAAAAAGGTTCCAGGTTCGATTCCCGGTCTGCATGTTCTCCATGAGCTTGCATGGGTTCTCTCTGGGTACTCCTCCTTCCTCCCACAGTCCAAAACTTGACTCTTAGGTTAGTTGGCCTCTCTAAGTTGTCCCTAGGATGAGCATGGTTGTACGTCTCTGTGTTGCCCTGCGACAGACTGGAGACCCTCCAGGGTTTACCCGCCTCTCACACATAGAATTCTATTCAGTTTATATCTATACCGCCAATTCACATCACATGTCATCTCAGGTCACTTTCCAGTTCACCGGATAAAACAGTCAAATTGATTCAAAGTTTTCTATCTAAGGAAAACCAGTTGATTGCATCGACTCATTGACCCTTCAGCAATCCCTCACACTAAGCATGCTTGTAGCGACAGTGGAGAGGAAAAACTCCCTTTGAACAGGAAGAAACCTCCAGCAGAAGCAGACTCAGATGACCCAAAGACCAGTGGATATAGGCACCAACCCCACGACGACCCTTATTCCAACACAGAAGATCAAAAAAGTGCGAGAAGATGGATGGGGAATTTAGACAAATATGTGAGACCATCGGAAATGATTTAAATTTGCAGCAGAACTGGAAGATAGGCTTTTCTTTATTCTTGCTAAATTAGCTACAAATGATCTTCCTGGAGGAATGGAGATCAGGCATGACAACAGCGGTTGAGTCTTTATGTCATGCTGTAAATTGGATCACAGGCTGATACTGGGATCGGCTCGGAACATTCCAGCTCAATTAACCAAGAGTATTTTTATTCAACATATCTCATGATTATTATTTATCAGTCATTTTGGATGATATATCTTCTATCATGCGGTGTTCATGTAACTGAGAAAAACCTAAAAATGTTTTTATGGTTCTGGATCTGAAGCATTTCGTAGGAAAAAACAAAAAACTTTTAGATCCAAGACGTGAAATTATGACCTGTTAATGTAAGCAGTGTTCATCCATTTCATCGTCCTGATGTGTCAAACGTGACTAAACCTGTATAGGAATGTCTTTGATTGAATATTTATCAGCATATAGAACATGTAACCGCCATCATGGTGGACTGTATGAATGTCCCAGTAGCTGCTATGATCCATGTGTTGTGAATGTGTGTTTTCTTTAACCTGATGTGCCCGACATCAACAGCAAACCTTATTCTCTATGACTGAAGGACTGAGCTTTGGTCTGATGGCAGGTGGACTAACTTTTACTGAGCTAAACTCTCTGATGACTAGAAAATAGAAGTGGTTGCCAAGGTGATGTCCCTCTATTGTTCACTTCTCTCTTGTGCAAACCTCTAAGTATGAGTTGTGTTAAAGATAAAAGAACCTGGATGAGACCAACGTATATGGGAGTGTTTTGTTGTTCTGACTCACCTTTGTGCTTGTGAAGATGATTGTGAACCAGTCACTTATTTTCTACAATGTCTGGCCAAAAGGATTTTTTATTTTCTTCCATAATTTATTTTTTTTTTTTTTTTTTTTTGCTGTTTTTACCAATTTTTACAAGAAATACAAAGTTAGACGGACGTCTTTAAAGCACATTATAATCTCAGTAATAGTTGGTCTGTGTGTAAATGGCCTGAAAGCACCTGAACTAGTCTTTCTCCCTCCAATTAATCCCAGTTTGATCTGAACTTTTTTGCATCAAACAGGTTGAATCTGTTGTTGGTGAAACACCAGCTGAGATGCTCCTCACCTTTTGGCCAGGCATTGTGTTTCACAGGATGTTCTATTTATCGTTTTTTTTTTTTGTCTTTGTTTTTTGAAGCTGTAACCTCTGCAAAGTAAGGTGAAAGGATCTCTGTCATATTATTTCATTCCAGTTAGAGTAACATGGAAAATATTGATGTCAATCCTGAATCACTTTATTTTAAATCCCTATTAAAAAAGAACTGAATCTAGAAGTTATTTGTGTTTTTCCAAAGCTGCTCGATATTTTATTCATCTACATAAATATGGTTGAATTCATTTTTTAATCATTATTATTTTGATACAAAGAACCCAAACACAGATGAACTCTATCATTGGTGAAATAAGGGTCGATGCAAACTAAGTCTATTGTTTCTATCAGGCTCTTTAATCACCGACTCAGTCAAAGTCACAAGCCTATAAAAGCCACAGAATTGTAAATCTAAAAGAGGAAAAACTTTTCACCAAATTCTAATAAACTTTTTTTAAATGTGAAATGTTATCCATGTGCTGCTATACAGGTGTGTTTGAAACAGAATGAATTAAAATATTATTTAAAAAATGAGCTGCTAAACCTTTGTGCCATTTATCTCTGCATACAGCCAATCATTTTATTCTTTTTGTTTCAACAGTGTAAATTCACAACAGGATCCATCAAGGCACTTTATAAAAAAGCTCAAACTATAAACCATAAAGAAAGATTCAAAGCAAATTCTTTCCATTTAGTCAGAGACGGAAGGAGCCGACAGGCGGCACTTTAGGTGCTGGAGGAGCTGCTGCATGCTACACCACTGTATCCACACAGACAACTAACGGTTAGCATGATGCTAATTTGAACTGACCATCCCATAGGGATGCTAGCACTTTAGTGTCGTTTTTTTTTTTTTTCTTTTTAAAGATTTTTTTTATCTAATGCAACAAAAATGCTTTCTACTTAAACATTGGTTTAGGTGGCTGAGGAGATATTAAAAAAAAGTCATGTTGACGATTCTCAGTCATCCAGGTCAGAGTCGTTCCAAAAAAGTTAAAATCAATCCACTGGACTTTGTTTCCAAGTCTGAAGACGTTTCTCTTCCATCCAGGAAGATTTTTAATTCAAAATGTCAGAAATAGAGTTCAGTTCCAGGTTTTATCCAGCAGCCAAACAAAGCCTGGTTTATGTTTAGAAAACATGCAAATAGGGCTTGGGATTCGCGTTGCAGCCAGTGGGACGTTGCGGCCAGTGGCGGCTGGTGAAAAATATTTTTGGTGGGGCTGATATTGTCATGTTTGGCTTTAGGTGCCGCGCCCACATGCAGAAACACACTCGGGAAAACAGGCACAGTCTCAGGGTCTTTATTAACACTTAGTCAAACAGATCACAGAGATTATGTCAACCAAAAACCACAAGAACTGGAGCGCTGCCAGGAAACCGGTCTCGTCTAAGGAGGATAGAGAAGAGGTTAGAACGCGGAGAATCTGGAGGAAGAAACCAACGGATCTGAGCTTACCACAGAGCGCGGACACCGGACCGGGAGGGAGCAGTGAGAACTCGGCGCTGCCTGATGGTGAAGTGACAGGAGTGGCGTGACCAGAGAGCGGGGGAATGTGGAGTTGTCCGAGCAGCCTCCGGGAATCAGAACCAGCGGGAGGAACCAGGGAG